GAGGGAACCCCTCTCCTCCTCACCTCTCACCTGTGCGCCCGCCGAGTCGAGGATAGGCAAACCCGCAACACGGCGGCGCGTGCTCTGAATCACCCGGTACGTTCACAAAAAAGTCCAAAAATCCTGACATGTTCACCTCTATAAAAAAAGTACACTGTATACTGTCCCTTCAAATGTGCCTTGGCTCCTAGGACCTATTCAAATCTTAAATAAATAACCAGATAATTAAAAAAAAACAAAAAAAACGTCTACCTGGTGCTCCAATTTTCGCTTCCGCAGATCTCCGACCCCCACAGTGACAAGGGGGTCAGATAGAGAGGCTCGGCGGCCCCATTATTCCAGTTGAGCGGGTAGTTTGAATCCCCGACCGCCAGAGGGCGATCTTACTTGAGTCAACAGGGACTCGCATGAGCGCCAACCAGCCAGCCGCCGCCCCTGCTCCCGTCCAAATGACTCGCCTCAAACTCCATTATAATTGAACTTTGGTAAGGTAACACAAGGTGGAGAGGAGGGGCGGGGGCAGAGCCGGGCAGAGCGAGCCGTTGCCTTCCGGGCAATGTGCTGGTGCACCTCTACCCGAGTCAACACGCCCTGATTGTCTCCCGTTGCTCGCCAAATAATGAGCCAGCCAGCAAAGTGGCGGCGGCGGCCCCTTCCCTCGCTCTCTGTCTCCCTCCCGCTCCGTCTCTCATTCTCTCTCTCTCTCTCTCTCTCTCTCTCTCTCTCTCTCTCTCTCTCTCGCACCCTGCCACTGAACGGCGAGGGCGCTAACTAACCTGATCGCACCCAGAAGTTGCCGCTGGTGGTGGTGCCCCATTGCAACGCAAGGCCCTTGAGCCGGCATGTTTCTGGCGACAAACTGTGGGGTTGATGGGGTGGTGAGGCAGAAGGGGTGAGATACCCAAGGGGCTGGGCTTTTAGAGACAGAAGCAGAGAGAGCGAGAGAGAATGGGTAGGGGCAGGTAAGGTGTACTACATTAGTAGGTAAAGGGCGACGGGTATTTCGACAATTTCTTTACAAAAACGATGGACAAAGTGTAGCTGGATATAGAACATATTTATGGTGCCTCACGAGGGTGCATTTAGGGGGCAGGTGCACCAAGCAGGAGAGCAAGGGCACTGCAATGGGGGGTGCAGGCTGCGTCGAGGATGGGGCAAGACGGCAGCGAGCGGCCCAAGAGACCCTACTAGCGTTCCGGAACAGAGCAAAGACCAAAAGGCGGCGCGCGGGGCGTGGCGGGCAGGGGAAGGGGAGAGGGGGGAGTGGGGTAGGGACCTTTAGAAGGAGAGGGAGGTAAGGATGGCGCTTACACAGTGGAATTGTCCCAGGAGACGGGGGCAGAGCGAGCAAGTGAGAGGGAGGGCAGAGAGAGAGAGAAGGGGGAGGTAAAAGGCCCCTACGTCCTTTGACCGCGGGCAAACGAAGGGAGAAGAGGAGGTAGTGCGGGGTGGGGGAGGGGGCGAGTTTTGCACAAGTGTGTGAGTAGTGTGAGCGCGAGTGAGCGAGGGCGAGGTCTCGAGAGGGCCTAAGTGAGCTCCCGCCGTGCTCCCGCTCGACTTGCGCGCCCCAATCCAGGGGAAGCCCCTTGTCGCGCGCAGCACGGGTGCCAACCACTCTGTTTGGCAACACTGGGGCCTCAAAAAAGTAGGGCCAGCATCAATCACATTTCATGACGGCAAGTTCAGTCGAAAATCCTTCGCATCGAGATCATTATGCGATTAGAATTATTGTGGTTGGTAGCACTGGGCCACTGAGATTTCAGGAGTTACCAGAAGCTGCTGGATAAAAAAAAAACAAAAAAACAAAAACAAAAAACAAACAAACAGAAACAGCGTCAATTATGTACTTACTCGGTACGCGTAGTATCTGCAGAGCGGCTTGTACGAGTTGGTCCCGCAGACGAGAATCTTGTTCTTGTCGATCTTGGCCAGGACGCGGATATAGTTCTGGCACTCATCCTGGAACAGACGGAGCAAAAGGGGGGGTGGTGAGTAAAGACAGACAGGCGTACCAACGCGCTGCGCACACAAGAGCGCGCGGCCGCACTGCTGCCAACCGAGCTACGAGAAATATCGGGGTTCGCCCGGCTGCTGCTCGCAGTTAGTTGGCAAACCTGCCGCGCCCCCTCGGAATAATATATATAGATATACGCGATTGGCGTTGTGTGGTGGCAGCCCTGCACGGCATGAGAGAATGGCAGCGGGAAGGGACTGGCGCACGCCTATTGCCGGGAGTAATTCATAATATATCACAGAGAATACCACCATTGTTCGGCCCCTGATCAAAGGAGAGGAGAGTGGGATAGAGAATGGAGGGGGGAGGTACGAGAGGCGGGACTAAAGAGGTCGTAGGCCTTGGGGCTGTCTTGAGAGGGAGGGGGGAAGGTTGCGCGGCGGATATGCGGTTGGTTGGTTATATTGTAACCAGGCTGGGGGCCATCGTTCATCATGCGTCACCACCGTCTGAATCAGTGTCTCCGTCGTCATCCTCGGGAAATTATTTCAAACTTTGGCGCAAGTGGAACTCATGCAGGTCTGCCAACCAAGGACGGTCTACAATAGATCCGGCAGGCAGGCAGAGGCGGCAGACTCGTCGCTCAGCCAAGCTTGGAGCCAATGAGGGACACTGATCGGGGGGAAAATTAATGAAAATATTTACGAGATACAAGTACAATGTGCTCGGCATAGGGCAAATATTTGTATAAATTAGTTTACACAAAATGCCCCCCTCCCCCGTTCCCTCCGCGCAAGCAGTTTGTGTTGGCCCCGCTCCCCATTTCCCATACAGCAGGTGAACTTGCTCAAGTCCGCAGCTCCTATTGAGGCCTTCTGGTCCGGAAGGTGCGCACCATTTACAATTACTGAAGCTGCTTTGTCCGATTTGGCAGTTGTGCCCCGCCAGTGGCTGGCCCGGGCAGCCCGGCCGGGCTCAGTCTCCAATAGCTCATTCATAGTGATCCGACCTTCAGCCAATCAACTCGACCAACTCAAACGGCAACTCGGAGGGACAGCTCTCCCGGGCCCGGGCAGGGCTGGCGCTGTGGCGGCGACGGCACACAGCAGCACAGGTTGGTTGGAGTACAAGTATACGACGCTGCAGCACGGATCTTAGCTAGGACCGCAAATCCGATATGACAGCGGATAATACCCCCTTCCCTTTTCCTTTTCCCATTATTGCGAGAGATAATTTCGATCGCAACAAAAACTTGCCCCTGTTGCTCTGAGGAAGCTTAAAGAAGCCGTGGCAAGATATGAAAAATTACCGTCGAGATTGCGTGAGACGAGGAATAATTATCTTCTCAGCCGACGGTTGGCAGCGGTGGGCTGCTACGAGAGCACATTGCGTGAGGAGGAGGATCCCATCCCACCGCTCGGTCTCCACTTCTAGCCGCTCTTCTAGCAGCAGCATCTTTGTCCGGACCACCACACGCACACACACACACGCACGCACCTGCTCGGATTTCCTCACGCACCGCTCTAGTCGCCCGCACTAACTTAGTCATAGCCTGTCCGGACCTTCCACGCCGGCCGGCCGGGCGGAGGAGTTGCGGAGCGGAGGCGGGGGCGGAGGGAGGGCGGCCGCCTGTACAAATGTTATGAATATTTGCTGGCCGGCCCCGCCTGGTCTTAGCAGAGTCCCCCGCCGGCCTGCTTGGCTGGCCGGCCGCACCGCCGCCGGGCAGTCGGGCTCGAGTTCGCGCGCCGCGGCCAGTTCTGTGCGTCCCGCCCGTCCGTCCGTCCGTCCGTTCTCCACTCCGCATCTTCTTAAACCCTGACCGTCTTTTCGCACGCTTTTGAAGTCATTGGGAGAAACAAAACCAATACGAACATTCCGGTGGTGCGCGAGCGCGACTTGGAAAAGAAAGAGATAAAGTGTGAAAAGGGGGTTAGGGATGC